ATTTAAGACAGCCTGTCAAACTACAATTGCTAATCTACTGCTCAGGGAAGTTCTGTCTATATATGGTCATATCCTGGTCAGGATGTTTTTATCTTTTGGGACTTGTTATTTCCTGTGTGGTTCAGCATGGCTGCGCATGCCCTGTTATGCACTGGGCCATGGGTGACCGCCACACCTACACAAGGAGTTATATGACAACAGGTAATCTGACTGACCACACACACCTGGGTAATGGATATAAAATGTAAGATCCAGTCACTATATGGAAACGTTCAAGCTGGAAATGACGCGCTATGTCCAATGTTTTTAACGTTTAGCTAATTTTAAAAAAGAAAGTTGAAAACAAATGTCGGCGTAGCCGCAGCAGAAGCCAATGGCATCGAAGCAGCCATGATTTCCCAATTTTCACTCCCTCGGGAGTCGTGGATCCAGTCACCTTTAAAGCCCTTCATGGCTCGGGACCATCACATCCCCCTCCACCCTGACCCACTTGAGCAGGGAGGCAAGGAGTGTTGGGGGGTCCCGTCCCCTAAGGAGATTCATCTAGCGGGTACCGGAAGAAGGGCCTTTTCCGTGGTGGCTCCCTCCCTCTGGAATTAGACCGGTGCCCACTCTGACACTCTTCTGCAGGGCCCTGAAGATGTGGTTTTGCCAGAGGGCCTGGGGGACCCAGAGGGGGACGGAGCCCCTTAAATGGCTGGTTTGAGTGTTATCACCCTGTGTGTGTGTGTGGTGTGTGTGTGTGTGTGTGTTTGACATGGTGTTTTTAATCAGCTGCCTAGAGTTGCCGCAAGCTGTATAAATTTTCCTACTTCAGGTAGTCCTCCACTTGCAACAGTTTATTTAGTGACCGTTCCGAATTACGACGGCATGGAAAAATGTGCCTTGGGAGGTCACAATTCGGAGGCTCGCCAGCCGGTTCCTCTTTATGACCTTGGCGTCCTGGAAAGGGGGGGGGGGGTTGATGCCCTTCCGCCAAGCGAAATCAAGGGGGAAGCTGGAGTGGCCTAACCACCGTGTGACTAACCAAACATCCATGGGGATTCACTTAACAACCGGGGGGGGGCAAGAAAGGTCGCAAAGGGGGGGGGGGGCAGATCTGACTTCACAGAAACGTTGGGCTCGAATCCTGGGTATAGGTGGAGGACGACACCTGTCAGTCAGCTGGAGACCCATCCTGCAAGTCAGCCCACCGGAGGCCCCTGGGTTCAGCCCCCACCCCCACTCTTCGCCCTTCCCCTCATCCAACGGAAGCTGGGTCCAAGATCCCATTGGTCCAGGATCCAGCTGGATTCCATGGATCCAGATGAATCTGGGATTCCATTAATCCAGGTGAAGCTGGGCCTGGAATTCTGTTGATCCAGGTGAAACTGGATCCAGGATTCCACTGGATTCTGTTGATCCAGGTTAAAATGGGTCTGGGATTCTGTTGATGCAGGTGAAAATGGATCCAGGTTCCTGTTGATCCAGGATCTCGCTGGATTCCGTTGATCCAGGTTAAAATGGGTCTGGGATTCTGTTGATCCAGGATCCTGTGGATCCGTTTGAAGTGGGATCCGGGATTCTGTTGATGCAGGTGAAACTGGATCCAGGATTCCGTTGATCCAGGATCCCACTGGATTCCGTTGACCCAGGTAAAGTTGGATCTGGAATTCTGTCCATGCAGGTGAAACTGTATCCAGGATACAGTTGATCCAGGATCCCGCTGGATTCCGTTGACCCAGGTTAAAATGCCTCAGGGATTCTGTTGATCTGGGTGAAGCTGGGTCCAGGATCCTATGGATCCGTTTGAAGCGGGATCCGGGATTCCGTTGACCCAGGTAAAGTTGGAGCCGGGATTCTGTTGATGCAGGTGAAACTGGATCCAGGATTCCGCTGATCCAGGATCCCACTGGATTCCGTTGACCCAGGTAAAGTTGGATCTGGAATTCTATCCATGCAGATGAAACTGGATCCAGGATCCTGTTGATCCTGGATCCTGTTGATCCAGGATCCCGCTGGATTCCGTTGATCCGGGTTAAAATGCGTCAGGGATTCTGTTGATCCGGGTGAAGCTGGATCCGGGACTCCGTTGATCCAGGATCCCGTGGATCCGTTTGAAGCTGGATCCGAGATTCTGTTGATGCAGGTGAAACTGGATCCAGGATCCCGCTGGATTCCGTTGACCCAGTTTAAAATGGGTCAGGGATCCCGTTGATCCGGGTGAAGGTGGATCCGGGACTCGGGGCCGCGGCTGGGGCTCCTGCCCGGCGAGGGCTGGGATGAGGAAGAGCGCTGGGATCCCGCCTGGGCTCCACCGGCGGCCAACGCCTCGCGGAAGTCGCTCGGGGACCAGAATCCGCGGGCGGCGCCCGGAGACCCTCCTCCGCCCAGGACGCGCCTCGCCCAGGTCAGCCCTGCCCGGGGGGATCCCTGCCCGCCTTCCCCGGGGGCTCCAGGCGCTGCGCTCCGGCCCAGCCCGGGGAGGAGGCAGGCAGGGAAGGAGGGAGGCAGCGGCGGGATGCGCGGGGACAGGCGGGCCGGGGCGCTGGGGGGCTCCGCTGCCTCCTCGGGGCGCAGCCGGCCGGAAGAGGAAGGCGCTGCCTGGCCAAGGAGGGAGGCCGGGCGGGCGAGCGGAGGCCCCCGGAGGAGGAGCGGGGCTGGCCGGGCTCTCTGGCGGCGGGGAGCGGAGGTGGGCTCGCCTGGGGGAGGGGACGTCTCTCCCCTCCCGCGGGGCTTTCCTGGTGGCCCCCCGTCCATCCCGGCATCTCTGGGGGCCCCGCGCGAGGAGGAGGAGGGGGGGAGCCGCATGAAGTGGGGGGAGGGAAAGGGGCATCCAAGGAAGAAGGAGCCCCGGTGCTTTAACGTTGGCACTCCACCTCTGGGGCTCCTGAGCATGTCTTGAGTTCCTTTGGGGCAGCATCCTTTCCCCTGCTGGGAGGCTGCTACTGACAGAAAGAGAGAGGGAAGGAGAGAGAGGGGGAGACAGAAAGAGAGAGAGGGAGGGAGAGAGAGAGTGAAAGGAGAGAGAGACAGAGAGAAAGAGGAAGGGGAGGGAGACAGATAGAGTGAGAGGAGAGAGAGACAGAGGGAGGAGAGAGGGAACGAGACAGAGAGGGAGAGAGAGGAGAGAGAGGGAGGGAGAGAAAGGTGAGAGAGAGCAAGAGGAGACAGTGAGAGGGAGTGAGGGAGACAAGAGATAGAGAGAGTGAGAGGACAGACAGAGAGAAAGAGGAGGGGGAGGGAGACAGAGATAGAGCGAGAAGAGAAAGAGAGACAGAGAGAGGGGGAGGGAGGGGAAGAGAGAGTCAGAGGGAGGGAGAGAAAGGTGGGAAAGAGTAAGGAGACAGAGAGAGTGAGGGAGACAGAGATAGAGTGAAAGGAGAGACAGAGAGAAAGAGGAGGGAGGAGGGAGATAGAGCGAGAAGAGAGAGACAGAGAGGAGAGAGGGGGAGGGAGGAGAAGAGAGAGAGAGTGGGGAGAGAGGGAGAGAGAGGGAGAGGGAGAGAAAGGGGGGAGAGGGAAGGAAAGTGAGGGGGGACAGAGAGAGGGAGGCAGGGATAGAGAGAGTAAGAGGAGAGAGAGACAGAGAAAGAGGAGTGAGGGAGAGGGAGACAGATAGAGCGAGAGGAGAGAGAGGAGAGAAGGGGTGGGAGGGGAAGAGAGAAAGATGGGGAGAGAGGGAACAAGACAGAGAGGGAGAGAGGCAGAAAGAGGAGAGAGAGGGAAGGAGAGAAAAGGAGGGAGAGGGGAGAGAGACAGAAAGAGGAGAGAGGTAAGGAGAGAAGGGCAGAGAGATGGAGAGAGGGAAGGAGAGAAAAGGGGAGAGAGACAGAGAGAAAGGGAAGGAGGGAGAGAGTGGGGAAGGAGGAAGAGACAGAGAGAGAGAAAGAGGAAAGAGCATTTATCAGAGATAGTATAAGTCCCCTGCTTCAGCAGGGGGTTGGACTTGATGACCTCCAAGGTCCCTTCCAACTCTTTTACTGTTACCGTATCCCTCTTGTCCAGCTTGTGTGCTCTGGGGGTCTAAACCCACACCTTTGCCCCACAATGCCCTTCACTGTATTGCAGGGGTCTCCAACCTTGGCAACGACACAACCTGAGGACTTCAACCACCAGAATTCCCCAGCCGGAGTGGTGATTTTTGAGACCCTAGTGGGCGAAAGGACTCCTCCAGAAGATGTCACGAGAGGACCGAGGTGTCCGGACGGCAGAGGAGAACTCTTCCCGCGTCATTTTTGCAGTCTTTCTGACGCTGTTGATTGACCTCCTGGGCTTCACCCTCATTCTGCCCCTCCTGCCCTCCATCCTGGATCATTTCAGCCAGAATGACGTGAGTTAAAAAATGAAGACGGGTTTTGCCCCCTATTTAAAACTTGCTAGCACAACCAAGGAGATCTCAGTGTGAATTCAAGTTAGTTTACTTTATTGTCATTGCACCTCATGCAACAAAATGAAATGCCATCTTCAGTGTACATCGTACATTAAGAAAATAAAACACAAACACACAACCTTTGTGTTCTATACAATTGTATTGAAAACTCCTGATATTGCATTAATATTGCACTATACAGTAGAATTCAATATAGTTACTGCTCTCCTCTAGGCTATGCAGTTTCTCGAATGGAATGGAATGGACTACGGAATAAAATAGGATGGAATATAGAATATAGAATATAGAATATAGAATATAGAATATAGAATATAGAATGGGGTGGAATGGAATAGAATAGAATAGGATATAGAATATAGAATACAATAAAGAATAAAGAATAAAGAATAGAATATAGAATAGAAAAGAAAAGAAAATACAATATAGAATAGGATAGAATATAGAATAGAATAGAATAAAGAATACAAATATAAAATAGAATATAGAATAGGATAGAAAATAGGATATAGAACAGAACAGAATAAAGAATAAAATAGAATAGAAAACAGAACAGACAGAATAGAATAGAATGGAATGGAATATGGAATAAAATAGGATAGAATATAGAATAAAGAATAGAATATAGAATAGAATAGAAAAGAAAAGAAAATACAATATAGAAAAGGATAGAATATAAATATAGAATAGAATATAGAATACAAATAGAAAATAGAATATAGAATATAGAATAGGATAGAAAATAGGATATAGAATAGAAAATAGGATATAGAATAGAATATAGAATAGAATATAGAATAGAATATAGAATAGAATATAGAATAGAATATAGAATAGAATATAGAATAGAATATAGAATAGAATA